TCAAGGAAAATTCATCTGTGGTGATAATGATGAAGGACAGAGTGAGGCCTATAAAATGTGAAGATAAGCTTACTTTTCAGAATAAAATTGCATAAAATGAACCTAAAATAATCAAGATCAGCCCTTGATAAAAATCATTTAAAAATCCATGATAATTTATAGTCTTTGCCTGGATGGAAGACTAATTTGAGTAAAACTCAGATTCTAATAATGGTGAATAGGATATGGACATACCTTAACCCATTCTCTCTTTACTAAGCAAGAATAAAACTGTGTGACCTTCAGCATAAAAAAGGAGAATCTAATGAGATTGTATCAGTTTCCTATAGTTCTCTACAGTTTTGCTCCAAGGGAACAGAAGTCCTCATCCAGTCATGACAATACTGCCATAGCTTGCTATAATAGTGTTCGTTGCTTTACAAATGGTGGGACACTATTACATTGTATTCAGCTAACCTTGTTGTAATTTAATCTTGATTTAGTTTTGCACATACATTTAGTAATAGAGAGGTAGTACATTATTTTAGAGATCTGAAGTAGCTGGGTCTACTGGAAACACAAGTTTCTTACTATAGATCAACACATCCATCCCCTGAACTATGGGCCAAGGGGTCAGGACACTTTTTCAGAAAAAGATCAGACAGTAAATACTCTCAGCTTGTGGGTCATTTGGTCTTAGCCACAGCTATTCAGTTTTGTCATCACAGTGCAAAAGCAGCCATAGATAATATTAGGTGGTTAGGAAAGTCATAACATAATTTTCTGTTTTTCTATCCAAAAATAGATCATGACTTTCCTGATGGCCCAATAAATTAATAGATAGGCATGACTATTTTCTAAAAAAAAACTTTATCTACAAAAACAGATAATGGGGCCTACTTAGCCATCCCCTGCCATAGATCATTAAGATGTTGTGATAGCATGGGAGGCCAAATAATGGCCTCCAAAGATGTCCATGTCCAACTTTAAGAACCTGTGAATATGTTACCTTTCATAGAGAAAAGGCTTTTGCAGATGTACTTAATATAAAAGTCTTAAAATGGGGAGATAATACTAATTTAACTGGGTGAGTTCAATGTAATGAAAGGGTCCTAGTAGAAAAGAGGGAAGGAGAATCATCCTGAGAGAAGATATGATGATGGAAGCAGAAGTTACAATGGTGTGGCCATGAGCCAAGGAGTACAGGTAACATCTAGATGCTGGAAAATTCAAATAATGGATTCTACCCTAGAGCTTCCAGAAGAACACAGTCCTGCTGAGACTTGGATTTTAGCCCAGAAAGATCCATTCCATATTCTTGAATTCCAGATCTATAAAATAATAAGCTTACATTCTTGTAAGTTGCTGAATTTATGATAATTTCTTAGAGCAGCAGGAGGAAATTAACACATTTGGGTTAGCCTAAGTCTGCCTTAGATTCTTCATACTTGTATTGTGAGAAGGATTGTACATGTCTGCATGGTCAAACTGGAACTATCTTTCTGGAATCCCTACCCTATATGGTTTTCAAGCTAGATTTGAAAAGCAGAGGTGAAGGGGCAGCAATTACAAATAGAAGATGGCAGTGATTAGATGTAGTTACAAATCAGAAGAAAGGGGACTAAGAATTCGAGATGAATCTCTCTCTCCTCTACCTGTGGTTGGCTCCAGGCCAATCACAGGTGCTTAATGGTGGCCCTACAGGGGCGATAGCTCAGATCCATTGGACTTCCACAAACTTTCCCTCCACTGCTCTGTTCTGGTGACAGGACATGCGTAGATTAATAGAGTGAAAAGTGTACTCCTCTGAGCCTCCAACTGCCCCCATACCTTCATTTTTCCAGCTTCTCCCACATGGTGTGAGTTTCAATTCCTGTGATAAATCTCTTATTTCAAAATTTATTTTGCTTCCATGTTTTAAACTGGACTGCAATAGAATACTTTAATAGAGGCAAATTTCGAACCTATGAAAACCGAGTACAGAACATACTTCCCACATCAAAGTGATATCACAACATGAGGAAGCAAGCCCTGAAGAGCAGCTGGCCCTTGTAGAGAGCGTCCTTCTCCTGTGACTCTGTGCCTATGCAGTATACCCATCGATTTCATATGAGAGGCATTGGATGAAAGAGGTAGCAGAAATTTGGGTCCAAGCCCAGCTTTGCAAGTGATCCTGGGCAAGCTTCTTAATCATTCTGGAGATGTTTTCATATTCAAAAACTGAAGAAGTGAGAGGTAGACTGTTCAAAGATATTTGGCACCTCTTCCCTGAGTGAACATTATACTTTCATGTTTCCCTGCCCTATTAAATGCAGGCATGGCCATTTGACTGGTTCTATTTGATGAAATGTGAACGTAAGTCAAATCCTTAAGAACTACTTTCTCTCTTCGCTTCTGTAACAGGCCAGGATTGCAGCGAGAGGCAGGTGCAGGTCAAAGTGAAGGTGCTGTGTAACAGGGTTGCAGCTGTCCCCACGGATGTGGCACTTGGGGGAGGATTGGCCTTTGCGATTGTATGCCATGAAATGTTGAGGTCCATGTTACCTCAGCATGAGCAGGCAATCCTGTCTGATACAAGACTACATGTGCCTTCCACATGATCTCAAATACTCTGGTTTATATCTAAGTTTGAGATGAGACTTTTTTTTTTTTTCCCCTTGCGAGAGATTTCTGCTATAAGGTGTGTAACTTGCTGGAGGAGGAGAGAGAGACAGAGTGACATAAAGTGAGAAAACATCCTGCAGGGGTATGGCCATGCCACAATCCCTTTCCTCCATTCTTCTCTTTGGATTTTGGGCATGCATGCACATACACCCAGCATGAGTTTTAAGCTGCCAGGTCAAGAAATTTGAACCATGGTCTACTACGTGAGAGTCCTGTGACATAATCATTACACTATCTGCTGGTCCCAAGCCTTTTTAATTAACAATGCATACGTAATTTTATTACTGTAAATGTCTGTTGATAATGTAAAATAGAAGCCTACTATATCTGATCAAAATTAACTCGCAGAAATATATGCAATAAAATAATCTTTGCATTAGCCTTTGTTCACGTAGTGCTCCCAGTCACCCCAAATGACTGAATTTTGAAATAAATGAGTTGATAAAGTTAGGTGGGGCTACCTAGACACCATTTATGCACCTTTTATATAAAAGACTAGCTAATTATTTTCCTTTCTATTGTCTTCTTAATATAACTTCCTTGGCTTTGAGCTGAGGAAGTAATACTTGTGGCTTATCAACCCCAAACACTGGCGACTCAGAAACATTAATTCACTATGTTGTAGGTAGATGTACCCTTTAGGTTGTTACCTAAAACTTTCACAATTAAGAAATTAAAATAGTAGGGCCAGCAGGTGGCGTGGTGGTTAAGGCTTGCTTTCTCACTTCCATTTTCT